CAAACTTTTTTCAGTGGGGGCCACATCAACTTTCCTTTCTGAGATGGGGGGCCGAGGTTAGTCTATAACAGGAAATGATATGGGCCAGGGTGACAACCAGTATTATTGTGGAGATTACAATGATAATTTGTTGTAGCTGCCCTTCGTTTGGCTTTGGCACAACCTGTTGATTTGCAAAAAAAAGTAATAAAAAGTCTTCACATGTGTTTATTTGAAGTACAACAGATACTCCATTTATTTTATAGAAAATAACAACACAAACTGATGGTAATGCCGGGGGAGGGGGGGGGCGCCGGCGGGCCAGCGGGCTGCTAGCTCTGCTTGCTGGGTGCAATGCCTGTGCCGGGGGGGGGCGCCGGCGGGCCGCCATGGGTCATCTCTCATATGCTGAGGTGCCACAGCATTAAGACTAGTGAATGTCACAGCGGAAAAGTTTGTCCTGACCCCTATGTTGGGAACCACTGCTGTAGGTCAGAGAATAATGTTGCATAGTAACCACTGCCAGATATCACCAGCTACCAGCTTGATCCATGGAGTGTTTCATTAATTTTTAGCGAACAGCTTTCAGGAAGAGAAAAATTCATGCTAATTAGGAATGTGACCTTTTCAGCTTATCATAGGGAAATCTGATTAAATCTGATTGAGTGGAGAGGATATTCAATGTAAATCAGTGTACCTGTGAATTGAATTACTTAAGCTGAGTGTCTGTTCGTTTTTTATAGGTAAACAATTTAGTTAATTTGACAAGCTGTAATTTATTTATTGATATTGGTACATTCCTTTTTCCGTGCATTTGTACAATTTAACTACTGTGTTTTAGATCTGCTCAGTACAACTGTTGTTTTCTAATGTCTGTATTACTTCCACTGAGCGGTTGCAAGGTTTTGTGTACTGCTCAAGCTGACTTTGATGATAGCTGTTGAGCAAGTAGAGCAAGGTGTTCACTCATTTTCCCCGCTGAGATTTCCCCAGCTGGCCCAGAGATGGCTCACGCTCCTTTGTGGTCCTGAGCTTATTGCTGTCTTTTGGAACCAGTATGAATCATTTTTATGCTTCTGCACCAGCGTCAGCCAGGGCTGCAGGCATTATGTTTTCAGGTTGGGCTGTCTTTCCCATTCTTATGAACATGATATCTCCACTTTGAGGGAATTTCTTCAAATTTGGCACAAACATTTACTTGGACTTGAGAATGAACCGATAAGATTTTGGTGGTCAAAGTCACTAGGACCTCACAAAAATCGTTTTTGGCCATAACTCATAAATTCATACGCTAAATATGACACAGTTTAACACCAATGTCTGAAAGGATAAAATTATGATATTTTATATCCAAATGGTCAAAGGTCAACTTCACTGTGATGACATAATGTTCTGTAAAAACACCTCTGGCCTTATTCAATGCTGTAACTCAGAAATGGGAGATTGTGACCATATTTCCTGCACTTGGTTGGTTGGTGGAGGCATACACATGTGAGGTGGTAATTCTAGCTTGTCTCCGAAATCACTCACTCATTCACTACTCCCTTCTCACTATCCAGGGAGTTCAATGTAGAGGACTATACAGTGAGCTCATCTGTAAAATGAAAAAACACTTTTGGTCACTACTCTGGTCATTTTTGCACCGTTTTTCTGTCTTTCATTATGAGCGCAATGCATGATGGTATATATTGTTTGGTTAGTGACCATCAGTTGTACACTACTTTTCACAATGTATTGTGGGATACTGTGAGTCCTCTATATAGGGTATAATAATTCTCACTATACATTCGGACAGCACTACAAAATGGCAAACTCACTATATAGGGAGTAGTGAGTGATTTTGGACAGAGCCCTAGTTTAATCATTTTTCAAGATATTGATTTAACCAAAGTCTTTAAAAATGCAGAATTTTACTGCTTGAATTTATTCTCTGAGTTGCATTCATCCCGGCTTGTGACATGCAACCAAAAATGCAACACCACTCTATCCTGTTATCCAGCTGGGAAGCTAACAACAACAAGAAGGTAACTCGATAGAGACATCTATGGTCCACAATCTTCTGCTAAAATGTACACTTGTGTTCAAAAAAGCACAAAGCACACATTCTATGTTGTAATGTTAAATTATAACACTTTGAGGTGACGATCCCTTGTTATCTAGGTCCACAGTTCTCCAGCAAGTTGTCTAAGTTACTCTGCACCCAATCAAAACCCTTTTCCAGACGGACAGTGAGCCCACAAGCTGATGGACCGTGACTGCTCGGGAAGGGCTCACCTACAAGCATCACTCCTGAATCCCAGTGTCCTTATTCCTGGTTCTCACAAATAGAGTGAAACCATCCTAAGGGACCTTAAGATAAAGGATTTTACAATCTCCCTATTTCCTCAGCAGTCAGTGCATTCAGTGCTGGTGGCGTTGTGGGGATGTGTACTCTGTATTTAAATCCGTGTTTTAGCTCCCACGCTGAGACCCTCCAAGGCCTCATTTGCTGCTGTTTGTCCTCCTTAGCTGTGTCTTGACCTACTTTCTACTAATACGTTCTCCTTTTTTTCATCTTTTTTTCTTCAAGCTACTGTGGAGTGCTACAACCCAAGGACAAATGAATGGACATATGTTGCCAAAATGAATGAGCCACATTATGGCCATGCTGGGACAGTGTATGGTGGTTATATGTATATTTCAGGTAAGTGACTCCAGGGAACTTAAGTCATTTCATTTGTAATCAGCCCAAATAAAGAGGGATGTGTAATGCTGTGGGAATGTGTATGTGTTTTAAAATGTACTTCATATCTTTGAGTCATAATTGGAATTAATTGCTGTTTGTTGTGATTTCCAATTAGACAATTTTTTTTCCTCCCAAGTATTTCATGGCAGCAAACGGCTGATTACATCTTATTACATTCTAGGCCATTGAATCTGTTCTGTGGTACCTCATCTCATACCTTTCCTCCATGCTCCACTGCACGTATCATGTATTGCTATGAGTCATTGAGAGAGGGCTGTGTGTGTGTTCTTGAGACACATGATTGACACATTAGAGGGCTGTAATGGAAGTGGGGTCACAACAATAAAACATAGGAAAGTATTATTAAAATGATTTCATAAGGAATTAGTGAGTTAGTTTAGGTTTTTGATTTAAAAAAAAAAAAAAAAAAAAAAAAAAAAAAAAAAACACTTCCATACAGTACATTCTAGTGTGAGAGTTATGAGATTAGGTAAGATTGCTAACAGTATGCTAATGTTAGGTACTTGCTAACAGTATGCTAATGCTAGGTATTTGAGTGTCTTTAACATTTGGAGACTTTTGCAAGTCATTACTCACCAGGGTTGGGTTAGATTACTTTGAAATGTAGTCAGTTACTGAATTCAAATTATATGATAATTAGTATTACAATCCATTGGATAGCAAAAAAGTAATCTAATCTCCACTTCCACAAATATTCCTTCTTCTCTTGAACCATCTCAAAACAATTTAAATGCAAATAAAATGCATTTAGCATAGTCAACATGTACATTTGGTCAGATCAAATTAATCTCACAAAAACATTACTGGCACAATCTACAGATGTACTGTGTGTATTTTACAAGAAAGCCCGTATCTCAGATGAGCTTTTCATTGGTTATCATAATTTTGAAATTGAAAAGATGAAAATGATCAAAATGTAATCATGTAATCCTTGACAGCGTAACAATGTAAAACTAATTGCACATTTTTTTTCAAATGTAATCTGGGTTGATTATAGTTTTTTTTTTTTTTTTTTTTTTTTTTTTTTTTAAATTCTGTTTACATAATCCGGATGTAATTCGTGACTACCCAACCCTCACCTCAAACCTCACACACTTTATTTATCGATGCTGAGCACGCAGGTGAGGTTAGCGTGAGTGTTGAGTGCTCAGGGCAGAGGGTGGACACTGAGGTCGGGCCTTTTGGCAGTCGGTACTTGCTCTTTGGGGGTCACCTCATCGCTTGTTCACTTCATAGGATTGAAAACAAATCCTGCATTATGGAGATGAGCCCTAGTTTCTCAGTGTGACTAATCCAGAGCGATGCTACAAAGGGGGGGGGGGCTGGAAGGGAAATTGGGAAGGATGGAGCAACGTAGAGGACTGAAGCTTGTGTAGGAGGTGTAACACAGAAGAGCGTGTGTTAATCCCTCCTGGCTGTGGATACTGTCATCCGTCTACAACACAGAAACATGAAAAAGATTCCTAAAAAAAGGGATCACAAGAGGTTTCCAGAAATATAGATTTTTTTTCTCTGTATATATTTTTTAGCATGAAAGAAAGAAAAATGGAATGAAGTTATCTCTTAATACATATACAACATATATATATTTGTACTGATCAACTCTCAAATCATCCATCATCATCGGTTTTATAAATTTGAAGATCTAGTGAATATCCCACCAAAGAGGTAAACATTGAAGTAACTATAAGTAATAATGTAAGAATTTAAACTGATGCATTTCAGCATCTGTGGAATATCTGAAAATGCGGTATATTGACATTGAAATTAGGCTAGTGTTTTTAGCCATGGTGAATTAATTTACAACACCACCTGGGAAGCTTTGGTAAATGAAAATAAAATATTGAAAAGCTCTTGAGTATTAAAGAGTAGTATTAAGCTTATTTACAATGTAAGGCGCTGACCAGCATACACACCGTTCTATTACATACACTCCCTGATTTTTGATTACTGTGCACAACCCCAGTGAATGTAATTTCATAATCCACAGATCTCATTATTCCTGCAAACCTTTATCAGTGGTGTGTAGTTCTGTACACGGCACATTAACTACTGTAGTAGCTCTAGTTATGTTTTTTTATAGATTCAGTTCCTTGAATGTTTTTAGTATATACCCACGTAGTCTCTATTACCAAAGATTGATCTCTGTTTTTTATTTTATTCTTTATTCTAATTTTAATTTTTTTAATGAATTAGAGTGCTGCAGGAAGAATAGTCACAGTGTGTATGCATGTGAAAAGTTAATAATCCGTGTAGCCCCTTTAATTTCATTTAATATTATCTAATGCTGACTGAAACAGGCCATAACCTAATATATACCTTCATACATGATTATGATGATTTATATAAACAAAAAGCAAAACTTTTAAAACATTTTTAATTAGTTAGTATTTCACTTGGCAAGCACAAGAACTGGGGCATATTTGGGACCAGACAAACCCCATGATTTGGCAAGCCTGACATTGCAGTGGAGGAAAAGATGAAAGCCACATTTCCACTTTGTAAAATAAACTGAAATGATGAATAACATAATAGTCACGGACTAAGCTAATCTGCTGGTAGCCAGCTGTTTCTCAATCTCTGCCTCAGGCTGCACTCTGTGGTACATGGTATTTATTGCTCACCCTTTTGATATAGTAATGGATTCCTATTTTGTTGGCATCATGTTTCAGTGATGCAGTTAATAGAAAGCCAATAGCTTGGTAAATTTCGCTATTGTAACAGCTGGCTGAGCTGTGACACAATGTCACGCTTTGCACCTGCAGTAGCTAAAACTGCATGTGTGGGGGAAAAAAAAAGATCATTTGTAGGATCAGGATAGAGCTGGTCAAGCAGTTTTGTGAAAACATCTGTGGGTTATAACCCAAGAAAGAAACATGCACGGCTCATAGGAACAGACAGTAGTGCTTTTTAATGCAAAGGGTACAGGTAAACGAGCATTTCCCATTTGAGGAATTTTGTTGCACTTAGGCCCTACCTTAGTGCCCACAGTCCCAGAGGTTACAGTCTAGCTGTGCTGCGCTGTCTGAAGGTATTCTGTCAACTGGATGAACCTGACAAATGCACTCAGCCCGCAGACCATCACAGCTCAAGTGGTGTGGCAGAGTTCAGACATGAGTACTGAACCGGTGCAGAGCCACACTGCCTCTGGTGCACAGTCTTATCTGAGAGATTAATATCTGTATGAAAAGCCTGTGGTCTTACAGTTCATTTTTTAGTTATTTATCTACAAAAAGGACACTGCATGCTTTGAGTAATTTAGACTTGGGTGTCGTGGCAGACCAGAGTTATGATTATGATGATTTGTGATTTCAAGCCTTTTTTTAGTGATTTGCTGTGGTATGTGCAAGAAAGCTGTTTTTTATGGCCTCATAACTGAGTATTTTATACAGAAAAGGGTGATGATCTGTAATGTCTGCATACATCCTCCCCACTCGATCATAGTTGAAATACTACGTTTATTGACATACTCTAATTGCAGCTCTTACAAACAATGTGGGGATTGGTTAAGACTGTCCCTGTTTACTATATAGAGCACTGCAGTATATTCCTCCTCTGCCATTTTATTTGAGTGTGAACTTTATGCTCAATATAATCAACTGAAAAAATTCTCGCAATGGAATAAATGCACACCTCTTTCTGTTTACAACCCCACAGTGCAGTGTCTTCTATAGATGTAGAAATTACAGTCGTATGACTCAACATCTGTTAGTGATGACCCAAAATGAAGATGATTCATAAGTGTCTGAAATTTTGATTTCCTGCTCACTACAGAGTAAGTAGCTGTCTATTGTAGAGAGGTTAGTGAATGTAGGTATTGAGCAAGGCAGTGGTTTTTAGACACAGCTGAAACTTGTTTGTTTGTTTGATCGCATGTTTCTGCAGAGACTGATACCCAGACTGAAATGTCACAATGCTGTAAAATCAACTTGCCAGTATGCCTTGAGGAGTGTGGTGACAGTCAGTGGAGTGAGTGAATAAGGACCATAAATGAAAAACACTGGGTTTGAACTTGATATAAAAGAATAAAGTGAAATTAGGAGCCAATGAGATTTCATTAGCTTTTATAATCTATACATTGATCACTATATGCTAATGTCCATTGATACGTTCCTGGCCATCCTGTAGAAAAATGATCAATCGTAGCTGTAGCTTGGTTGTGTCTTTTAGCAATGTGCAACCTTGAGGGATCTGACTGTGCATTTGTTTGTTCAGAGACCAGTACAGATCATTAGAAGTTGATATTTATGTTTGAATTATATTTTTAAATGTCTTTATATGGTAAACTACTGGCATATGTAGCAGACAGTGTAAACAATAACCCAGTCTGTCCTGCACTGTCTGAAGAAGGGCAAAAGCTTTTAGGCTCAATTTGGCAAAGCCTTGTCCACTCTAAATGTCTCACTAATGGCACTGATTAGACATTAGGACAGTGGGATACTGATCAGACATCGTCGTATCAGGGAAAGGCCAAAGCCCTTAAACTGAATCAGAATAGCAGCAGGGCCTCTTGAGAGGAATTAGGAGGACCCTGCGCTAACTCCAGCACTGTTCTCTTGTCAGGATTTTAATAGCAGACTCGTCCCGTGGACTACTTGGATAAAGAAAATGGATAGTCAGACTATCATTGGATTTGATCAGAGGAGGCGCAGCATCACAGATCTGAGTCATGGCGGCTGAATAGACAGCTTAGGCTGCAACAATAAACCAAGCACACGATCACTGGGCAGCAGCAAAAGAGGGATACTGCCTGTATTCGGCATGCTCTGCAAATCTTCGCTGCATTTGCTCCTAGTCAGTCTGCCTGGGGGGGGGGGGCTGGCTTCCACCCAAATGCATGCTGGGATTGTGTTCCTCTTTATTTTAAGCCTTCCCTGTAGACATGTCCTGTTTTTTTTTTTTTTTTTTCTCTCTCTCCTCCCCACTTTCCCTCAGCTTTTTGTGTCCCGGCGTCTACAGACTGTGCGTATGTGCATGAACGCTTTGTAATGGTGTTCCCCTTTGTACTGAGTGCTCATCATCAGCATTATTTCATGCTGTAGAAAAGAGACTAAATGAATATTGATATCACTCTAGTTTGTAAAATTAGGGTTTACCCTGTATATTGGTTGTTGAGTTTGAGAAATAGCGATTGTGAGAAGGCGAGATTTAAAAATATACAACCTTAATCCTGATTCTTGGTCTTCATAATGCTACTGAGGCAAATGTGACCATTTCCAGTGTTATGGCTGGTGCTCCACATGGCCCACATAAATGACAATGTAGGTTGACATGGGTGAATGAGTCACTGATTGGTCTGATTGACGAGTCTATAAAACTCTTTTCCTCCCCCAAATGATCAGTGTGGAGGCTAATTTGTGCTTCTTTTTTTTTCTTCCCGCTGCAGGGGGAATCACTCATGACACTTTTCAGAAGGAACTGATGTGCTTTGACCCAGATGCGGACAAATGGACTCAGAAAGCACCCATGACGACAGTGCGCGGCCTGCACTGCATGTGCACGGTGGGGGACCGTCTTTACGTGATCGGGGGCAATCATTTCCGGGGCACCAGCGACTACGACGACGTGCTGAGCTGTGAATACTACTCCCCCGCCCTCGACTTGTGGACACCTATCGCTGCAATGTTGCGAGGCCAGAGCGACGTGGGCGTGGCCGTGTTTGAGAACAAGATCTATGTGGTGGGGGGCTACTCGTGGAACAATCGCTGCATGGTGGAAATAGTACAGAAGTATGACCCTGAGAAAGACGAATGGCACAAAGTGTTTGACTTACCTGAGTCGCTGGGCGGGATCCGAGCCTGCACACTCACAGTTTTCCCCCCTGAGGATATTTCAAGCTCACCCTCCAGAGAGTCGCCCCTCTCAGCACCTTGATGAGTAAAGGGGGAGGGGGGGCACTTTGCTCATACCCCCATCACCCCTTGTCACCCCCAACCCCCTCAACGAACACACCTTATAGACATTGTTTGCACTTCCTCTTTGGACTACATCTGTACTGCATCCCCAAGTATCCCCTCCACCTCCACTTCCCCTCAAGCTGTGCAGAAACCCCTCCCCAAGTGGTTAAACCTACATACCGATACGGATTGGCAACCTAATTACATGTTAATGTTGCATACTCGGTATATTTTGGCAGGAAATACCTTGACTTGAAAAGTGACTTTGCAAATCAACTTTTCTACCTGATGTCTACAAAGTTTTTCTTATGTCTCGTTTCTTTAGGCGTTCTACATTGAGATGCTGACTACCACACTTGACAGTCTCTTCTAGTCTATGCCAGGTTAGATGCAGGTGACCCCAGAGAGAGCAGAAGCGTAGGGACAGATGAGCTCTAAAACACAGCTGGTTTTTAACTCAGGGGTTGGCCCCGGCCCCATCGACGTCTGTCTCTCTTACAGTTTCAGTTATTACCTGCTATTGCTATGGAACTGTTAACAAAATGGTGTTTTCTAAATTTAATAAACATGATTTTGAAAGTAATTAAATGTTGTTGTCATTACTGACTACAGCAGATTCAGGATGGTCCTCAAAACCCCCAAAAGTGGAATTGATTGACTTAAATGATATGCATCCATATGGAGATTTCACAGAGCTCTTTCCACAGAATAGAATAGAATAGAATCAGTTTTTGTCGTGATATGTTTTTGGTGGATAATTAGTAGACTGGTTGCTTTGGATTTGATCTCATACGTACAGTTTTGTTGATGATTTCAGTGAGGCCTCCTGACTCTGCTACGATATGCGTGGTCATTAATCAGCTGTGGGGGAGAAGATGGCTTCCTCTGTCTTTGTTTAGTAAACTTCACTGCAATGAATGAGCTGCAGAGGTGCTGTTTGCAGGGAATGGTCAGTTTGCTTACCTGTTAGTAGCAGATTACACTGCATGGTTGGACATAGACATTTAGATGAAACATTCAAATTCTTAGTCTGGTTCACTACAGTACAATCAAGACTAGCAGGGACATTCAGTGCTTTTCCAATCTCTACCTTGAGTTAAATATCAGCCTTGTCACTGGTAAGAGGCTTGTTCCTGACATGTGCTCATGTCAGCTAAAGAGAATTGTTAACATCATCAAACTGCCCTCCACCAACATACACATCATACCGCTGACCAGTGTGAACTGGAAACTGGCACTTCTGCCACTGTCGCCTCTCCTCCTGGCATCAAGACAGACGGCAATGTCGCCCACAGTCTGCCCACCTGCTCCTCGACGATTAAAGCCTTAATAGCAGCATATGGTGTTCGAGACGTCTGCCTCATGTTGTTACCAGGAACAAAAGGTTTGTGTAATCATCAGGTGAGTTTAGTCTGGAGCTTTAAATCCTCATTATATTCTCATTATATTCTATTAATGAAATGCTGCAGTGGTGCTCCTGGTTTCAAATTTTAATGCCTGTCTCTGCGTTGTTCATGGCAACACGATTTCAACTGTAGGACTGTCATTATATTATTATGATGTTATAATGTTAAGTTATTTTACATGTCTGAAATTCATGACCTGGATGTTTTGTTTTTGTGCCTTTTTTTTTTTTTTAATGATTCACTTTTAGCTTTTGAAGCTCTTTGTGTTACATTTTCTTTCCAAAATCTTCATAGCATGTCATATACAGTTGTTCTGTTCTTTTACCAATGAGTCTTGTTGTTTTTAGTTATTTTGAAGCATTGTCACATTGTTCTGAGAGGTGCTATGTTAATACCTTTTTTGTGACATTTCAAAAGCTCTATTTTGCGCGGCAGTTTATTGTTAAATCCTTTTGGTGATGGAGCAGTTTGAATCATTCTTCCAAATTTAAAAATAGGCAGGTTGTAATCCTATAATGGAAAGTCACTGAATGAACAGAAGAGCAAAACTGTAACGGGCTCAGCTGCTGGTGAATGCATTCATAACAGAAGACAGGACAGGAATTTAGTGCCATCCTTCACTGAAAATAAATCATCCACTGCTAACCATCTACCCTCTGTATTACCTGGATTTGGAGGCAGGAGAGTCTAAAGAGAGGACGGGAGTGGTGCTGGATATAAATCAAACCCACAACCATAACAGTGACCCTGATGAGAAGGCAAAACAGCATCAGTTAGGCAAGTAAGGGACTGAAAATATGTTGCCTGTTGTCAATACTGAGTAGTCGCCCAAACATCTCTGAAGGCTGATATTCTAAACCATCTTATATAAGCGTAACTGCAACAATTTAAAACTCAGAATTTTTGGCAAATCAAGGTTTTTACATATGTTGTGACATACACTCTGTTTTTAAGATACAATTTGTTGTAAGAAAATGTTTTCCGTTTGAGGCTTTGCTTAGTAAAAGGCCTCGTGGGCAATGATATACTGTGAGATGATGTAAATTTGCCAGCCATTTGAGATTTTGCCATACTGTTTCATACTGATGCATTTATCTCTTTAATAATATTTCTGGATGTATTAGGCCTGTTGCAGGCAGATTTCCAAATCCATGCAGGGCTGCTTTAAGGCAATATTGGATTTTTGGCCACGTTTGGATAGTAATGTTGGTCTGTTGATCAGTCAGTCGGATATTTTTTTTTTAGTTCAGACTGAAATATCTTAAACACTGTTGGATGGATTGACATGATACTTTCTTCAGACATTCATGGTCCTCAGAGGATGATCTATGTGACTTTGGTGATACCGTTTTTTTTTGTTTTTTTTTCCTCCAGCGCCACCATGAGGTTGCCTTTTTTTAGTTCTCTCAACCATTGGATGGTTTGTCGTGAGATTTTGTGACATTCATGGTCCCCAGAGGATGAATTGTAAAATCTTTTACTCCTTAGTGCCGTCATCTAGTCTGAACGTTTGTTTTTTTATATCCGATACTTTAGTTTATGACCAAATACCTGCAAAACTAATGACATTCCCATCAGTCTCAGCTGTATTTTGTCTTTGGATCTAAATAGCAAATGTTGGCTAATTGACAAAACTAAGATGAGGAACGTAGTAAACATTACACCTACTTGCCAGTATAGCTGTAGACTCTTTTTTTTTTTTTTTTAAACATTTATTTATTATGGATTTTGTTCATTTTACAAACAAACAGAGAACAATACAGAACAGCACAATAAGGCACATTATAATGAAACAAACCAAAAACAGAAACAGAAAGTAGACTCTTAGTCTTGTATGATTTTTGCAAAAATGAGAAGTACCTTGATTACTCATGTTTAATTCACTGTTTCTCAACTGATTTTCTAAAAGAATTACTATATCCCCTTATTTATCCATAACAATATAAAATTACTCATACCATGTTGGAGGATTTTTATCTATGTTGCCACACTCTTTTCCTTTGGTAGTTCCAGCAGTCAAACCAGACAGAGAGCAGCCTGAGTTTTACAAAAGCACTCTGCTGTTGTCAGACATATTTTAAAGCATTAATTGATTTTTAAATGGATTTGAGAGTTACATGCACTGACATTTTAATGGCCTTCAAGAGAAATCTTTTTGGACAGTGCAGTGCACTTTAAGGACAAATTTGAAAGAAAAAAAAAAAATCACCCTCAGCATATCTACAGTGTCTGTAGATATGCAGCACATGATGTTCCAGATCCAGTGTGTAATTCCTGCCACATGGCTGCATTGCTTCCTGGTATTTATGCAAGCCAGTGTCAATATTACATGATACAGAGCTTTGTGTATGCTGAAGACAGAAGGCTGGGTTTTTAATGAACAATGTGTCCTCAGTGCTAAAGCAAAGAGAACTGGAGCAAGAAATTAACAAGCGTTCACTCACTCCCACCACCCCCCCCTCCCCCTCCCCCTACCCTCCGCTTCACTACCTGTGTTTCTCAGTGGATTTCATCACCACTAGAGGCATGTTCACTTGATTCATGAAGCAGATAAAAGAGGTGCGTGTGGATTACAGCCTGACTCTTGACACATGAACACAGCACACATTTGTGGCTCGGTGTGTCTCCAGACAGCTCCTCCTCTCTCATCTCATCCCAGCCAGAAAATGACCTAGATTCTCCAGGCTGCTGGATGTGTTTACATACACAGCACACTGATGACATTGTCAGTCAGAAAGCATCGCTCTCAGCAGCGAGGAGAGGGATGCTCTTACTGTAACTAAAGCTCCGATTCGCCTCTCGTCATGATAAAATACTCTGCAGAGCCACAGATCCCTGCTGTCCTCTGACTGCATAGATGATGGTGTTAATGGCTATTGATCCTTCTGTCTGGCAGCCTGCCAAGATATCCTGATGTTACTCGTGCAAGATATATTTATTTTTGCAATCACAAAATGCCTTCCATTATCAGACTCCACAAAGGTTTCAGCTCTCAGATAAAGTTTACATCTCTCTTTTCTCTCTCATCATGAATATTCAGAAAAGGTCAAGTCCTTGCTCTCCTCTCGAGCTCTCTATCCCCCGTGACTGTGTCCTGAATTATCTGTCCCTAATTCATCTCTTGTTCCAGTGCTTGTTCCTGCCCTGGCTGT